CTACAATGAAAGAGTTGGCAGGGCTTTAGAGCGAATCAAATCCATTGGTTTCCAGACTCTTGGAGTTCTTGAGTGAATCAAATGATAAGAAATTTGGAAACCAATGTAGTTGCCAGTTTTAGTTCTCTAAATAGCAACACCATACCTAACAGTTGGTTTTGAAACTGTTATTAACAGCAAATAAAGACGTAAGTCCATGAATAGTCATTAAAATTATTTTCAAATAACTATTTCAAAGCATAACATACTACAAAAAATGGTAAAAATATGAGAACAATTAAAATTTTGTGGGGCTTTTGTATATTGTGTTTCGTAGAAATGGGTCAAGGAAATAAAGTAGAATGCTTTCAGTGGTTCTCTTAGTTCATATGTAGGCTTACAGGTGGATTTTTTACAATAAGCATGTGTTACCAGAAAACACTTTCTTCAAAGATGGTCTAGTTTGTAGTGGTATGGGAAAATGCTTGTAAATTAACTAAAAATGGAATACAAACTATCCTTTAACACCCGTGCCCATTATGTCCCTAAGTAATGTGCATTCTAACTTTGTTTCTAGATCAGCCTCCCCACCTTCACAGATGCCTCTCCATTAGTTGAGGCATTTGCCCAAATAATTGCCAAATAAATGAGGTGTTGGTGTGTGTGTGTGTGGTTACCTGGCCTACTCCAGCATTAATCTTAGTCCTTCTAATCCATCTGTCATCCTTCAAGGTGATTTTATTAAAATGTGAATCTGGTCTTGAAATGCTGATTGGAGTCCATGCTCCTTAGGATGGCATACCAGGCCTCCTGTAATCTGGTTCCTGCCTGTTTCCAATAAAATTTCCAGTGCTCCTTCTTTTTGCTCCCACCCATTCTATTACTGCTTTCAGTTCCATCTTTCAGTTCCACAATCTTACCTTGTGGTCTCTGACCTCTTTTCTTTTATATACACTATCATCTCTCCATGGAATATCCCCCTCTGCCTTGTGAATGCATCCTTCAGTTCAAGTGTCTTCCTCTATGAAGTTTTCCCTGGTACTTTTTCAAGAAGCCCATTGTTCTTCATAATTCCCTGTACCTTTTCCCCAGCTCTATTGACAGCACTTATTGCAGTTTGTTTATAACTATATAGAATTTCCTCACCCTGATAAAATGTGAGCCCCTAAAGTACAGTATTTAACTTAACAGTGTGTCTCCCTCAGATGAATGCATAGTACTTACATTAACACCTAGGACATGGTAAATGCTCAAGTAAATGTTTAAAATAATTAATTAGGTCTCTTTCGGTGTAAGTTTAAGTCTGCAAAATAGCTACTAAACTTAAATTGTGAAGAGAAAGAAAGGGTTGGAGATGTATTTTTGTAGCTACAAGTTAGGAAACTTAAAATTGTTAATGATTTGTGCATAAGAGCAAAGCCATCCTTATTCTAGGGGAAAAAATCAGGAACATAATTGGACATCTGTTCTTAGGTTTCATCCCTCATAATTATATTGAGGGACTAACAATGCTCAGTGAAACATATACTGGTACTTCATCCATTGCAGATAAAAACCTCGTCTCAAAAAGTGTCAAATTATTTTGGGCAAATTGAAGATTCTTATCTGTCTTTTGATGTTTGGTTATAAATTCTTATTTTTTCAAGTTTAACGTGTTTTACCAATGTATAATAATATAACTGTAAAGGTACTTTAACATAGATACATTAGAGGAGAGAACTTTCCTATGGCTAATTTAACAGGATAGATGCTTATCTCTGCATGGAAAGTTATTTAGCTTCAATCCTGAATTGTTTATAATCAACAGATTATTTTGTTAATACCCATTTTTATATAAAGTTGAATCCATCAATGTGCTAACAAGTATCCCCCACACACACACAAACACAAGCCATTCTGTATTCTTTGGGAAGGTTTGGCACTAAAAGTTACTTCTAAGATATGCAACATTAAACGAGTTGATATATTCTGTTACACAAATAACAAATTTCTTAGATTTCTAAGTGTTAGTTGAAGGTACTTACATAAAGAACTAGTAGAGCCTTCCCTGGTGTGGCTCAGCTGGCTGGAGTGTCATCCCATAAACCAAATGGGTGGCGAATTTGATTCCTCATCAGGACACATGCCCAGATTGTGGGTTCAGTTACTGGTCAGGGCATATATGAGAAGGCAAGCAATCAATGTTCCTCACTCACAGCAATGTATTTTCCTTTCCTTTCCTCTCTATATAAACGCAATTTTTCAAAAAATATCCTCAGGTGAGGATGGAAAAATAGACTGGTTATATAATGTATTTACTTCCAGAACTTGGCTGGGCATCCATATCTAACAAATTTTCACTGGAGGCAAATTCTTACACTTAGGGTTATAGGTCATGGCTACCAAGGGTTTTTGTATTTTTTTTTAATTAATTTTCCTGCTCTGGGTATGTTAAAATACTTCATGCCAGTTGATCACCATAATTATCTGGGAAGCTTATTAAACTATACATTCCTGGGCTCCACACCCAGTGTTCCCCAAAATAAAATGGTAGGTATCATCATTCATAATTCTCTTAGAATGTAGCAATTCCTGAAGAGCCATATGCTGAGCTACTTAGTGTGATGCAGGAATCTGCATTTTTACAAGCCTCTCATCCTCAGGTACTTTTCATGAAAACGCTACTTTGAAAAATATGGAATGAGGCTTTTCACTAAAATGCCTATATAGAGCTATAGTGCAAGGACAGTACTTCTTTTTGTTGTTGTTGGTTTTTTTTGTTTGTTTGTTTGTTTTTCCATTTCTTTTGGAGGGAGTATTATTGTAATATTTACCTCTCCAACCTGAGAATCTTGGAGATAATAATCCTGAACCATTTCTTACATTTCTTCTTGGAAATTTTATCAGAACAGCAAAATCAATTGTTCTTTAAAAATTTAGAGCCCTGACTGGTGTGCCTCAATAGGTTGGGCATCATCCTTCAAACTGAAAAGTCGCCAGTTCGATTCCCAGTTGGGACACATGCCTGGGTTGCAGGTCAGGTCCCCTGTTGGGGGCATGCAAGAGGCAACCGAATGTTGTTTCCCTTCTCTTTCTCCCTCCCTTCCCATCTCTCTAAAAAAATAATAATAATTTTTTTAAGAATATTCTGATGGACTGACCATTTTTTCTATAGTAAATATGGGCCAAGTCTTGTTAGCCTAGGAACCTCTGTCTGTTTGTAGGAATGTCTAAGTTTGTTGTGAAAAAGAAGCCTTATTTCTAAGTTCCTCCCCACTTTTAATATATATATGAACATCCTTAAAGGGGAGGAACTAGCTATCAGCATATTTTAAACATAGTGACATTTCATCCCACTACTTTTACAACTAATTATTGTTAAGATGTTTAGACAATGTGTTCTTTTATAAGGTTACTGTTTTCCCTTAAAGGTGAAACCAGTGACTTTAATCTCCAGAAGTGTAACTCAGAGTAGAAAGCAGCATCACTTCAGTTAATACTAGTAATGTAAGAGTAGTAGATCTTAAGAATTTAGGTGTCATGAGCTAGGACTTTTTAAAGAATCCACTTCAATATAAAACATTCCAGTCCTAATGATAGTAAATACAGTATTGTCATAATTTCACACATATATTTTGATATCATGTTCACCAGGTAATTCTATGAATGTAATAAAACTTATAAGTGGTCAGCCTCTTTGAAGGCAATGAACTGGCCAAGGAGATATGTGTCTTGTCTTCATAATTGAATGACATTTTTTTTTTTTAACATACCGTGTTTCAACTTGTCTACTGTGCCTTTAGCCTGAGAGACATCTACTTGCTTATTAACAAAGTTAGGTATCTTCTTGTTGGGGTATTACTTCATAAGTTATATAAATGTCCAACCACTCTGTTGGACACCTGAAACTAATATAATACTGAGTACCAGCTATAGTTGAAAGAAATTAAAAATGTTTTAAATAAAAATACATAATTCAGCAAAACATTTTTTTAAAGTTGGGTATTTTGATCCATATATTTGAAGTCCCCACCTTTGATTAGTTAATAATCATTTTGATTTTTAAATTATATAAAAGCTAAATGTAAACAACTAAAAATTAGTTCAGCAAGTCACTAATATAGACAAAGTATGTGGAGATACATATGAAAAAATACAGTAAACAGCACAAAAAACTCATTCTTTCATCAAGATGGTGACAAACTGATTTTGTGCATTTCTGTGATTGTTTCTGAGAATACTAACAGGTATCTTTTAGTCTTGAATAACTCCCACCATGGTCACTATATTATCCAGAAGATATTAACCAGTAATAGAAAATGTACAATTTAATTTCCCCTAGATCAAAGTTAATGCTCAACCAGGTCTTCCCCTGCTGATACTGCTAAGCCTAGTGCCTTGGCTGTGTTTCACTGGCTAGAAGATAGGAACCACAGAAATCTCATTCATAGAAAACCAAGGTATTGTGCTAGCTTAGCCTTTAGCTATGGGATTCTATAATCTGAAAGGCACAAAGACAACACAGTTGCATTTAAGAGGTGGGCAAAAGTAAGTTTACAGCCCTGGCTGGTGTGGCTTGGTGGATTGAGCACAGGTCTGCGAACCAAAAGGTTACCTGCTAGATTCCCAATCAGGGCATATGTCTGGGTTATGGACCAGGTCCCCAGTTGGAGGTATGCGAGGCAACTGATGGATGTTTCTCTCCCTCTCTTTCACCCTAAAAAATAAATTAAAAAACAAGTCTACAGTTGTGAGTATGCAGAAGTTTATCCTTTTATTATTTTTTTGAAGACTATTTTAGAAGGGGGAGAGAGAGAGAGAGACATCTTCTATGTGCAAGTGATGCATAGATCAGTTGCCTCACGCACCCCCAGCTGGGGACCTAGCCCACAACCTAGGCATGTGCCCTAAGTGGGAATTGAACCAATGACCTCTGGTTCATAGTCCAGCATTCATCCCACTGAACCACACCAGTCAGGACTATTGTATTAATTTTATTATTTGTCTTATTGTTATTTTGTGTCCTTATGATTATCTTTTAGGTTATGATGGCTGGTAATTTAACCAACGAACAACGAAAGTGGATACTTAAACAATACTGGAAGACAGAGAATGCTGAAAAGGTTAGACAGAAGTGGGCTGAAGAATTTGATACACCTTCACCAAGTAGACAAACAATTTACAGAATACGTGATAAATTTGATAAAACTGGGTCCATCTGTAATGCTCCAAAAAGTGGTCGGCCAGTCAGTATCACCACCCAGGAAAATGAAATGTTAGTAAGTCAGGCATTTACGGAGAGTCCCAAAAAATCAAAACAAAGAGCTTCTATTGAGTTAGGCATTTCCTGTAGATCTTTGAGTCGTATTATGCAACGTTTAGGTTTGAAAATGTATCGACCAAGATTGCTTCATGGGTTACTAGAGGATGATACAGATCGCCGTTTACAATTCTGTGAAGTGGTTCTCAATGAAGAAAGACAAGGCAATAGCATCATTGATAAAATTACATGGTCTGATGAAGCTCATTTTAAACTTTCAGGTGCTGTATGTCGACACAACTGTGTCTACTATTCAAGAGAAAATCCCCATGTAATGATAGAAGGACAGGTAAATGAGCCAGGGGTTACAGTTTGGGCTGGATTTTCATGTAAAGGGGTACTTGGACCTATTTTTTTTCATACAACTGTTACCCATGATCTCTACCTTAACATGCTAAGGGACACTGTTTTACCACAGTTACAGAGACAACATGATAATGATGACTACTTCTTTCAACAAGATGAAGCTCATCCACACTGTGCCATAACAGTGCATGAGTTTCTTGATGAACAATTACCCAACAGGTGGATAGGTCAACAAGGGCCAGTGGAATGGCCACCACGATCACCAGACCTCACCCCAATGGACTTCTTCTTTTGGGGTGTTGTCAAAGATAAAGTCTTTTCACGAAAACCACGTACTATGGATGATATGATTTGCTGCATAAGAGAAGCATGTCAAGAAATCGATGACAATAAAGAACTCTGTGCTAAAGTGTGCTCAAATATAGCAAGTAGACTACAAGAATGTGTAAATAATGAAGGCCGGCAATTAGAGCAGTCATGAGATTGTACCTAAGTGTGTTGTGACATTTCTTTTGCGTTAATAAAGCTACTGTAATAATCATAACCTGCATGTCTTTTTTCCATTTGAACAACTGTAACTCTATTGCCTTCTATACAGATAACAAAGAATTGTGAGGTGGGAAGAAATTTTATTCATGACCGTAGGGACAAAAGAGGTATGGCATTTAGTCCCAACATTCTACTGTGTTCATCATTCTTACTCTTCAAAGAGGCAGTGAGTAGTAATTTACAAGCGGCTAGAGTGATAAATAAGATTATATATAAGCACCCAAAGGCAGAAATAAGGATGGAATAACAGCCTTCCTTTGTTATTTATCTTTTCTTTTGCCCTTAGAGACTCAATTTAAGTATAAGTATCACTGTTCCTAGAACCATAATTTATACAAGTGCCAAATAGTAGCATCCCATTAAAATGCCCCCCAAACACTGTAAATCTTGAAAGTAGGTATATCTGTATAAGCTATCAAAATTGTCAGTCTTGCTCCATTCAACCTAAGTTTAACAAATATTAATGGAGATTAATAGAATTTAGAATTTGCCTAAAACCCAAGGTGTCCCTCTGTATGCACACATTAGTTTGCCCAACAAGTGATTTGACCTCTGTTTAAGTAGCCAGAGTCATACTGGGGCAGTTTATTTGTACTTTTGGACAGCTTTTTTTCTCCTGGATGCATAGAACTGATTATAACATCATCAATTAAGTCTGTCCCACAAAACAAGTAAAATGAGGAACTGGGTAGATAGGTGACCAACAGCATAGATTATTTGGAATTGTAGCTCATTCCATAAACAGATTAACCAAGTAAACAAACATAGGCTGTTAAACTTATATGGTAACTAGTAAGTGAGAGAGCCTGCAGGTCATCAAGGGATCAGTCAGCCAGGAGATCACAATACAAATATTAACATGCAAATAACTAAATATACCATATCACAGCTAGTAGGTGGAGCAATGCCATCATTAAGATAAACTTACACCATTTAAAATATAAGGACTTTTGATATATTTAAACTTTCAATATTAATATAGGGCTTTATACCCCACAACTTAGTGACACGCATATAGGAAGAAAATGTCATTGAAGATACAGCACAGCAACTAGCAGATAAAAGTTTGATTTAGTACATATCTAGTAGTTTTTTTTAATCCCTTACCTACTGAGTTCTAGGTAGTTGTACAACATTCTCTGAAGTATATTGGCAATACTCTTAAAACTAGTAGGTTAAATTGTGAGCCAAACCCTGTACCATGTTCAGTATTCAAAAAGTGTAATGGGATAAGTGACATTAATAAATGCAAAGAATTATTTGCTTCATTGGTAAACTTTAAAAATGGCAGTACTAAATTAAATGTTTTAATGCAATGTTTTTTTCCATGTGTCCTTTATAGTAGTCCCTGAAAACCCATGGACAAAACCAAGGGGTAGAGTGGAAGCAAGGGAGGGAGGTGGGTTTGGCTGGGGTGGGGTGGAATGATAGGGAGAAAATGCAGACAACTGTAATTCAACAACAATAAAGTAATTTTATAAAGTTTTAATGCAGTGGAATCACAAGTTATAAATACTTTTTATTTGACAGACTAATAAAGTTGATCAGACATAATACACAAGATTTAAGATGATGGACTCTTCAGTGAGGTGTTAGCATTTTATAAAGTAATTATCAAAGCTATATTAGATTTAAAAATTGGTCATCATTGCATGTATATCCCAGGGGCAAAATGCCGAATTTTAAAACAAGGTTATGTACTCCATCATGTTTCCTAAAATGAGAATTCATGGGTCTTCAGTAAGTAGGTGCACATATTTTACTGGCAAGTTTCACAGCAGAGACTGAATAGGGAGTTTACATAGCAAAATACCTATTTTCACAAAATCCCATGTGGTTAATCTTTTAAATTTTAAAGTGTACAGTACATACTGTTCCTCATAAGCTTTTGTATCTCTTTTCAACTGGCCAGTCTAAAAATTTTCTCCTTTAAGTCCCTTAGGCGGAACAATTCAGTAGTTGGTTGTGGGCAGTATATACAAAATTAGCACATACATTTTATTGATTTTAGAGGAAGGGGGAGAACATCAATTTGTTCATTATTAAGCATTCATTGGTTGCTTCTTGTATGTGCCCTGACCTGAGATTGAACCACAACCCTGGTGTATAGGATGACAACCAACTGAGGTACCTGGCCAGGGCAAGTACTGTATTTTGTCAGGTATAATGTGCAGTTTTTGCCCAAATTTTTGAGGGAAAAATAAGGATGTGCATTATATGTGGATATAATGATTATACCATGAATCTAATAATCCTGTGTATAATGCACACAGAACATGGTTGTGCATTATACACAGCAGAATACCGTATATTTTTATACTTTTTAGGGGGTGGCAAATAGATTCTGTGTCCTACCATATGGCACTGATTGTTGGTGGAAGGTCCCACTAAGTAAAGTATAGTATGATAGTAACAGGAACTCTGTACCTCCCTGTCAACAGAGGCACAAAGCTATAGGCAACTTCTAACATCTTTGGGGAGCATCTCGATTTAGTTAATAAATTTGACCACCAGGTATTTGGCAAGGTGTGACTGCAGTACAGGATTTTGTTTTTGTTTTTAACCATTCAATTTAGGTCCTGCACCTGCAAAGGCTCTATATGCCAACTCCAGTATTTTTCTCTCAGCCTAGGTCCTTAGTCAACATTAAACAAGGTAATAGAGAATTTAAGTTTTAATCATAAACATGGAGAGAACTTTAAACTTGTTTAATAAGTTCAGACTATTATCTGAGCCTGAACACCTTTACTAACATAAAGCATTTGTAAAACAGTTTTCTCCACTCTGCACATTTCATTTGGTTATGTTGCTCCTTTATAATACAAGAGAACTTAAAGAATTCCAAAGCAAATTGGTGCTTTGGCTCGAATTAGTTTGGTGGCTGTTACGCCTCCATAGATATTTTCCATCTGATTCTACTAAGTCTACAAGTTGCCAGGATAACCTGGGACCAACCAGAGAAAGCTTGATGTATTTGTCTCGGGCAGTGGTTCTTAAAATACGGGTCCTGGGTCAAAGTGCATTAGAATTACTTATGGTGCCTGTTTAGAGTGCAGATTCTTGACAAACCTCCCAAGTCAAAATTCAGTCCTATGAGTTTTTGAGAAAATTATCAAATTAATGTTTTTTTAAGATACTGAAACTGCAGTGAAGACACCATCTCAGCATTTAAAATATTAGGAGACATGATAACATAATAGTAGACTCCTTATTTAAAGGATATTTTATGAAATCCAGATAAGTATTTTTAAATTGATTTTAGAGGGGGGTGGGGGGGGAGAGAAATATCAATTTGTTGTTTCACCTACTTATGCATTCTTTGATCTTGTATGTGCCCTGACCAGGGATGGAACCTGCAACCTTGGAGTATTAGGAGAGAATTTGAATCTGGTTGGTTTTTTTTAAGGGAGCTATGAATTTACAAGGCAATCCTACAAGGAAAGGAAGAGAAGAAAACTATTTTGGGTTGCATACAAAATTGCATCACACCTGAGATTTGATAGTCACTTTATTTCTTTTGAACAGGAAAATTACATGATTAAAGGCAACCATATAAGAAAAATATTTAATTGTAGGGGGTCAGAGAAGAATGCCATTTTCAAAGATTAGTTTTGTGGGGAGGGGACTTACCTGGTCAAATAAAGGGAATAACAAAATTTTTACCAAAGTTACCTATCTGTGTAATGGTAACAAAAACTAACAGTGCTACCCAAATGACCATTTTTTGATAGGCTTTAAAAAAAATTTTTAACAAGTTACATTAGTATCCTGTGAACCCAGCCAGCCAATCCCCTTGATTAGGTGGTTCTTTTGTACAAAAGGAATACACCTTTAAAACACCAAAATGTGAACAAGATAGTGACTGATCAGAATCCTCCTTTTTCTGATGGTTAATGGAACCAAATTATTTGCAATAAAGAACCAATAATCTGATTCCCAATAGAGGATGGAAAATGTCGATAGGCAACATGACAGCCTAATTTCTGGAGTAGATTTTTGAAATAGGACTGCTTATGAAAATGAGTTCCTTTTCCCAAGGCACAAGATAAACTGGTTGTTTAAAGCTCCCAGAAAATAAGTTTAAATTACCTTAATATGACTGACTGACAGAGATGTTTCTCTCACCCCTAAAAACACAGATGCTTTATTAGTAGTAGTGGTATTAGTATTATTATTGATTTTAGGGGAGAGAAACATTGATTTGTTCCACTTATTTATGCATTCATTGGTTGCTTCTTGTATGTGCCCTAATAGGGATGGAACCGCTCAGCTCTAACCAACTGAGCAACCCAGCCAGTGCTACGGCAGATATTCTTAACTACCTTTTGACAGCCCGGGGCATAAAGCCTGCAAATCTGTCAGGATATATTAAACATGTATTTTATAGTAAGACACAAGTCAATTCTATCAATGGACTGCTAGTTAGAAATCCCTTGCCAGGTGTTAAAAGTTTTAAGAGAAGGTTCAGTGATGAGGCCTGTAACTAATGACACCCTGTGCAGTTTGGGATTACGTCGTTCTAGCTTCCAATTAGAATGACCCCTGTGTCAACTGACCTAAGGGAAACTTGATCCCTTAAAACTGCGGTGGGAAGCCACACCGAGTAATCTTAACCTAGTAAGAAACATTAAGAGTTCAGTCCTCTTCAAGCAGTCCGATCAATTCAGAGGAGAGTTTTAACCTTTGGTGGAAATGGGCACTTTTATTGTCTATGATATGTCAAAACCATGGTCACAACCAAGAACCCATTAAGAGCCCACCAACCATTTTACACTTTAGAAGAAACCTGCTTGTTGCGATCTCTCCCACGCTCTCATGGTGCAGTGGTATTTTGTCCTGGTGAACTCTACCAAACTGTCCAAACATTTGCTCCCGGTCTGGAAATGTGCGCCGTGGAGGCTGCGCAGCAGATGCAAACTTACGGCTTCGCGAGTGAAGGTCTGGTGCTTCCCCATCAGAGCAGCAGGCTGGCTTCCGCCGGGAAGGGCGTAGCCC